CGCGAGCTGCCCGTACACCTGGGCCTTCATTAAACGGGGTGTATGCGCAGCTCCTTTTGTAAGCTCTATATATATAAATATATAAATATACATATATATATATATATATATATATATATATATATGTTAATATGTAATTGCATTTAGAGGTGTTTATGTAAACATGAAAATAAAACAAAAGCAGAAAAACAACAAAAAAGCAGCGAATAACAACAAAAATAAAACAACAAAAAAACAAAAAAAACAAAAAAAAAATAAAAAAGAAAAGAGATGGATTGAATAAAATAATTATTTTAGAGCTACAGGGGGCCCTGCAGCCCCTTTATGGATTTTTCTGAATATACAGCTGAAGAGAAACTCGAGTGAGCCCTCAAACCCTAAACCCTAAACCCTAAACCCTAAACCCTAAACCCTCATATGTTATCTGGGACTCGAGTGAGCCCTCAAACCCTAAACCCTAAACCCTAAACCCTTATATGTTATCTGGGATTGTTTCAGATGGGCTGGACGATGTAGGCGGACATTTCTGCAGCACCTGCAAACCCTAAACCCTAAACCCTAAACCCTAAACCCTAGGTGACGCGCCGTGGCCTGCTGCTGCTGCTGCTGCTACAAAGAAAGAAGGGGGCCCCCTAGCTGCTCCTGTGAAGCCGTATAAACCCCTCGGGGGGCCCCTACGAGAGGTGAGAAAACTCTAAAAATTAGGGTTTAGGGTTTAGGGTTTAGGGTTTACAAACGATCCTCAGGATGGTACTCTCCTCCCCGTCTCCATATAAAACCCTTGCAACACAAAACCCTCGAGGGTTTAGAAACGCAGCCTAGGGGCTGAATTTCATGTTTTAGGGTTTAGGGTTTAGGGTTTAGGGTTTAGAGTTTAGCATAGAGAGAGATACTTAGATAGTTCAGAAACGAAAATAGAGGTCTAGGGTTTAGGGTTTAGGGTTTAGGTTGATTTCGCACTGCAATATCATCTCGTAAACCCTAAACCCTAAACCCTAAACCCTCAAGGAGGCAGCAGGGGCACATATAGAGACGAGAGCGTGCAGTATAGTCCCCCTACAACACTCAATAGCAGCAAAGGAAGCTGCTGCTGCTGCTGCTGCTGCTGTTGCTGCTGCTGCTGCTGTTGCTGCTGCTGCGCTCGCTGCTGCAGTCGCCGTTGCTGCTATTGCCGTTGCTGCTGTTGCTGCTACTCTGCTGCTGCCGTCGCTGCTGCTGCTGCTGTTGCTGCTGCTGCTGCTGCTGCTGCTGCTGCTGCTGCTGCAGCTGTGTTTAGTTTCCACTGAGTATATGTTGTATTTGTGTGTCTTTTGCTGCTGCTTCTGCGAGGGTTTGCTGCAGCAGCGAAATGCAGCCGTCGCGGCGGATGCCGAACTCATAAAGAGTCATCAAATTCCTCACGCTCGCCGGAAAAACCCCCATCTAAACCACAAACCCTAAACCCTAAACCCTAAACCCTAAACCCTAGATTTTTTCTAAACAATAGATAAACAAGAAACCCTAATTCGAGGAAGTGAACAGGGACAGAAACCAACAAACCAAACCCTAAACCCTAAACCCTAAACCCTAAACCCTTTTTATTTTTCTCATTTCATTCTTTCTTATGCAACACTTTCTTCATAAAACCCTCAAACCCTCAAACCCTAAACCCTAAACGCTAAACCCTAAACCCTAGTATCTTACAGGATTCCCATGTACAAACCCTTCTAAAGCAGCAATAGCTCCTTCTAGTTGTTTATCATAAAACCGAGACACAGCCCCGTTGTTGCAGCAAACTGCATGCGCTGAGGAGCAGCACAACACGCATGCAGTGCTCCACGGGTTCTCTTCTTCTTCTCCGCTGCAGCGGGGGCCCCGCTCGACACCGAGAGGGGGCCCCTGGGATGCGTGAATTGCTGCTTCGAATGCGTCGACTGCTGCTGCAACACGACGAGTAAATAACAGCAGCAAACCACTGCAGAGAGAAAAAAAAAAAAAACAGAGAGAGATATATAGAGACAGATGAGAATAGTTAGGGTTTAGATAGGGTTTAGGATTTAGGGTTTATAGATAGTATGGTTTAGGGTTTACATGAATTAGGGTTTTAGAGTTAACCGAAATTAGGGTTTAGGGTTTACAAGTATTGGTGTTTTAAAAAATTAGGGTTTAGGGTTTAGGGTTTAGGGTTTAGGGTTTAGGGTTTAGTTACTGGTTTGTGCTGCGGAGACAGCCGTCTGAAACCCCCGAGCAATCGGCGTAAGTGAAGTACTGCTCGGCGCACTCCGTACACCCCATCTGCACACAAACCCTAAACCCTAAACCCTAAACCCTAAAACCCTAAACCCTAAAACCCTAAACCCTAAACCCTAAACCCTCGACTCTAAACCCTTCCAGAAGGTCGATGGAGCAACCGCAGAGAACACGAGAGGGTTCCGCACGAGCAAGATAAAATAAAAAAATAACTATCACAAACCCTAAACCCTAAACCCTAAACCCTAAACCCTAAACCCTAAACCCTAAT